CTTCCTCCTCCTCCTCCTCCTCCTCCACAACCTCCAACTCCTCCTCCACCCCCTCCTCCTCCCCCTCCTCCTCCTCCTCCACCCCCTCCTCCTCCTCCTCCTCCTCCTCCTCCTCCTCCTCCTCCTCCTCCTCCTCCTCCCCCCTCCTTTCATCGCACGGCGTGCCTTCGTCAGCGCGCACCCTGCCCGTGCACACACCCAGGAGGAGAAGGGAGGAGCGAGGACGAGGAAGAGGAGCGATGAGGATGAGGAGGTGCCTGCTGCTCCTTCCTGTCACTCCTCTGCTCCTCCTCCCTTCTTGCCCTCCTGTTGCTCCTCCTCGCCTGCTGGGGTGCCCCCCAGCAGCTCCCGAGCCCGGGTCAGCGGAGGGCGGAGCATGGCAATCGGCCCCACGTGGCGCCCGAGCCCGGGTCAGAGGAGCCCCGCCGCCCTCCGAGGAGGCCTGCTCCAGCTCCCTCTCTCCCCCCCCCCCTGGCGCGCGCCGCGGATCCTGGCCCCGCCCCGCAGACATGCAGCGTCTCGGCAAAACAAGACGGAGGCTTTTCGTCGTTTTCGGCCTCGGGGGTCCTCGCCAGGCCCCTGGGACCGTCGAAGTACGAATCAGTATGAGATTAGGTCCTGGGGATTTGTTTTTTGTTTCTTTGTTTCTTCCTCGGACCTCAGTAGAAGACAGCTTCGACCACGAACGCCACTCGTGCCTGAAAAATGGGCGCCGGGGCACGAGTCGACACCCGACTCGGTGAATTGTAACGTATTCAGCGCGATGGGACGGGATGGGAGGGCAGGACTCATGTCAAATGTGGCGCGGGTGCGCTCAGCTTACCTCTTTCATCTTTCCTGGCCCTCCTCCTCCTCCGCCTCCTCCTCCTCCTCCTCCTCCTCGCCCGCCTCGCCCACCACCAGCATCAAACGACATCTCGGGCTCAACTGGCCAACGAAGCCGGCACACGAGTTCCTGCCGTAGCACTCGCTCACCGGGTACCTGAAGGGCAACTTTAGGAAGGGGGGCCCGCTCAAGGGGGGGCGGGGGGGGGGAATGTCGAGCCTGAACGGGCGGTCATGACATTGCCGATAGATCGGCGATAGGCCTCGGGGTGGGCTACTAGGCTAGAAGAAGAAAAAACGCCATTAGCATAAACATCCGGCGCTCCGCGCGGATTTCTTGGGTCCGCGCCGGACCCCCCCTCTCTGGCGCGCGGAGCGCGCCAGGGGCGGCGCTGGAGGCGCCGCCCGGGGGGGCCCAGCACGGACCCAAGAAATCCGCGCGGAGCGCCAAAAGTTTATGTGTATGGCGTTTCTTCTTCTTCGATAGGTCGGCGATAGGCCTCGGGGTGGGCTACTGGGCCCCTATCGGCGATCAGTGGGCGATTGGGGGGTCGATGCGTTCCCGTCGGAACCTGTCCCCTGATGTTGTGGATGCCATGAAAATAGATACTCTATCAACCCCATCATTGAATTCAAGGCTCGTTTGAGATGTTTGAAACATATTCGACACATGCTTAATACATGTTGCTTTGACATGTTTAAGACATGATTGACACGTTGTTAAGACACCTGGAAATTAACATTTGGCAACCTGCTTCCTCTCCATTGATCGACCTCCGCAACCGCCGAGCCGAGGAGGAGGAGGAGGAGGAGGAGGAGGAGGAAGGAGGAAGGAGAGGAGGAGGAGGAGGAGGAGGAGGCGGAGAGGAGGAGGGAGGAGGAGGAGGGAGGAGGAGAGAGGAGGAGGAGGAGGAGGAGGAGAGGGAGGAAGAGGAGGAAATGGAGATTAGGAGGAGGTTTAGGAGGAGGTTTAGGAGGAGGTTTAGGAGGAGGAGGAGGAGGAGGAGGAGGAGGAGGAGGAGGCTTCCAGGTCATGGTTCGGTCCTCTGGCGGGCGTGGTGGACGCGCTGGGCCCCCCCAGAGCGCCCTCGGCGAGGCGCCAGCCGCTGCAGGGCGTCCCCAAGCCTGGAATGCCGCCGGGGGCCCACGAAGACGTCTGGAAGAAGCCTCGAACATCTGACCTCGAGCGTGGGAAGGCGAAAACCCACCCCCACCTCCAGTCCCGGCCCCATCCCCGAACCCGCGATCCGGGGGGGGGTCGGGGCTGGGGGCGGGGGTGGCTTTGCAGGGCCCACGGACGGAGAGAACCCACCCCCACCCCCGGTCCCGACCCCTGGAATCGCCAGCTCGGGGATGGGAGTCGGGACTGGGGGTGGGGGTGGGTCTTCGCCCTCTGATCGAGCCTCGAACGCTGCCCCTGAGTACCCCAGCCACTGCTCGTTCCACCACAGCTTGTCCACGCGGTTGTCGTAGCACCCGCAGTCTGCGACGGCGACGCGGTACAGGTCGTCGTGGTCCAACAGGGCCCAGACCGCGTTCTGCCCACCTGCTCGGAGGAGGGCCGGCCGAGACAACGGCGGCTCTCCCCCCTGGCCCCAAATCCCTGCAAATCCACGCGCCACTGCACCCAAACGCATCCTCGCAGGACTCAGATCAAGATCAACCTGTGGTCACTCGAGACTGTAATGGGCCATGGAAATCGTTTCCACAACAATCCTGTTTCGGGTTCCGTTTTGCATTTTGCTTGCTGGTTTGGCGCCGCCGTTCTCCCTGTTCCGTCGCATTTGGTTTTTCGTCTCGGGTTCCGGTCCCAATCCCGCGGCAGTTATTGTCCCGCCTACGGGAGTTATTTGGCAATTGATTTAGAACAACGGCCAAAAGAATTGCCCAGCCGAGTCTGGGGCCCAATGTGTTCAGGACCCACCGCCAGGCGGAGAAAATACCACATTCTCGTGACGCTCCTGGCCAGGAGGCCAGAGAACATGGGGACACACGCGGGCGCTGGGTGATGCTAGGAGCACCTCGAAGTCATCGCGAAGCCATTGAAATGCCAAGGTGGAGTAGCAGGGAGGGCCTCGCAGCCCGAACCATGTCAAAATCCTGCAGCGATCGGCCCCCTGCTTTCCAGATTGATCACTTGTTGGGGTTGCGTCCTGTCCTGGCGACGATGAGGCCACCCGAAGGCCCGCCGATGTCTCAAGGAGGGCCGCCGATGAGGGGCCGCCGATGTCTCAACCGATGTCTCAACCGAGCTACAAAAGAACGAGGACTTAGCGACCTTTCGCGGTGGCTTACGCGAGACGCCAACGCGGCATGCTGCATTGGAAACGAGGGCGCTTGCGCGCCATCCTACGCAAACAACCTACGCACGACTGTCAGCGCATTCGAACCCGTTGTCCCTGAGATCCGACGACGCGACATCAAAATGCAAGGTCGCGACAAAGCATGACCGCAGACCCAGACCCCAGCTTTCTGATGTTTTTTTCGAGCCGGGTCGATCTGTGATGGTCGGCTACACGCAAGAGTGACCTGTGGTGGGTGACTTTCGGGGGACACGGGGAGGCCAAACCCGAGCGCGCAAGCCGCTGCTACCGCCTCGCATTCAGCCATCTGGGGGCCCCAGTGTGCCCGCACCAAAAGTCGCTCTGGCGAAAGGTCACCCCCATGGGACGCACAAAGGGAGACTAAGACTAACCTCATTTACATGTCCTCATTGGAGGCGCGCGTCCGACCCGAACACGTAGTATACCCATCTTGTAGCAGATCTCGTTTCCCGAGCGGTGTGGCCAGAGAGCGCTGGCCACGACGCATACACTGTAAGATTTCTCGGTGCGCGCGTCGCCCCTGAGGGGGCGACGCACATATAATATTAGTATTAGGTCGGGCCTGTCCCCCTACAGGGGGATTTTGGGGGGAAACAAATACGACAAAAATGCTCCAGAAATGCCAAAAAATGGTCAAACAATCGTCCCCAGACTATCTTTTTAAACTATGTTTGCACATTCCTCCTGTAGAGGGACAGGCCCGACTTAACATTAGTATGTCGGGGTGATGCCGATCTCAATCACGTGTAGCCGAGATGGCCCCAAGGTCCGAAGCTGGGCGAGAACGCCTGGCGCGGACAAAATGCAACGCCCGGGTCTCAGGGAACAGCGACGCGCTCGCCCTGGCCTGAACCTCGTCCAACTGGGTTCCCAGACCCCTCCTGGGGGGTCCACGCTGAGCACTCTTTCGAGCTGGACGCCCGAGTTATCTGGGATAACTTCGGCCCAGGCTAGCCTCGGGCCCCGAGGCAGGAACCAGGAGTCTTACCCCTGACCACCCCCAGCCCCGATGGTTCGGTAAAGATTCGCGAGTGGGTGGGCGCCCGAACTATCCAGGATAACTGCGGTTCGGGGCAACTCTGGTCTGGGCCCTAGCTACCCCTGACCAGCTCCAGCCCTTGTGACGCGGGGCTCTGACCCACACCCCCGACGTCATGATTGCGCAAAGGGTCAACTCCCAGAGATCTCGACCCATTCACCAAGATTGGTTTCACGATCCCAAGGCCCTGTAAGGGCTCCAGGAGGCCGAAAATGTAAAAACACCCTCCGTCGCGATTTTTTCATGGCTCGAGGGGCTCTGGGGATCGAGCTGAGCACAGCCACGGCGACGATGGGGCCCTCCGAGGATCAAAGTCGAGGGGTCGAGGAGGGCGGCCGACGTCTCAGCAGGCCCTCCTCCGACCTGCGGACCCGCCGTAGATCCCCACGCGCGCCAGGTCCATCCACGGCCGCCGCCTCGCCGCCGCGCGGATCCAGGCCTCGAGCATCGTGCGACCGATCCCTATCCCCACTGTAACCGATCCCTATCCCCAGTGGCCGATGTGTACCCTCCTGGATGTGAGGCTATGATTCCCTTTGGGTTTCGGGGGGCCTGTCCCCGGCTGGGGCTCCGGGATGGTGGGGGCGAGATGCCATGGCCCAGTGGGGATGGGGACAGAGCCGGAATAGGTTCAGCAATTGGGGCGTCGCTTCACGGGGGGGGGCGATGCGTGTGGGGGAAGCGAAGGTGCACTTTTCGCGCCCCAGAGGGCCCTTCAGGGGCCCTTCAGGGCCCCTCTTCTGCCGCCCTCGCTGTCTCCCCACTGTCTCGCCCCCCATCAGCCACGCGACGCCCAAACACTACCGAGGCCTTGCGGTCCGGGAGGCCCGCGTCCCGCAGATTCTGCCAGCAGACCTCCAGGAACGCCCTGCCCCGCCCGTTCGTGCCCATGCCTCGGACCCACGCGCGAGCGACGCGAATAAAAACGCGTCCCCGCGCGGGCACCGCGCGCGGTGGCCTACGCAGGCCGCCATGACTGGCGCGGCACGCCACAGTGGAAGCGGGCGAACTCACGCGCGGCCTTACCCGGGCAGCTTGCGCGCCGATGCCGGTGACGTCGACGACCCCGCTTTCTTCCGTCGCTCATGCGAGAGTGACCCTCGGATAGAGGGACCATTGGTGTGCGGCTTCCCCCGCGGCTGCGCGCGGTGCGGCAGCAGCGGCCTGCGTGCTTCGGCTTGGCCCCGCAGCGCCCCCCGAAAGCCGCGCACCCACGGTCACTCTGGCGAAGGGCCACCCTCACGCGCAGCCGAATACCGTCGCACATCACGACGACGAACCCGGCCTCCACCAGAGCCTGGCTGGCGGCGAGCAGAGAACGGCGTAAACATGTAAACTGTCGAAGGTCCGCGCGGATCCGAGAAATCCGCGCGAGGCCCTCCCCTGTGCGTCGACCGACAGGGGGTGTGGAGAGGAGGAGGATGAGGAGCAGGAGGAGGAGGAGGAGGAGGAGGAGGAGGAGGAGAGAGGGGAGGAGGAGGAGGAGGAGGAGGGGAGGAGGAGGAGGAGGAGGAGGAGGAGGAGGAGGGGAGGGGGGGAGGAGGGGGAGGAGGGAGGAGGAGGAGGAGGAGGCGAGGAGGAGGAGGAGGAGGAGGAGGAGGAGGAGGAGGAGGAGGAGGAGGAGCAGGAGGACCAGTGTAAACATGTGGACTGGCGCTGGACATCCGAAAATTTATAACACCTTTGTTGATATTCGGCGAGGAGGGGGGCGCGGGGGGCTGCACTCTGGGGACACGCGGGTCCCGGGCATCTGACGTCGTGCACTTCTCACGACATGGCTCCCCACAAAGGTCCGGGACCCCCTCTGGGGTGCCGGCCGTTCATCCTGAGCCGTTTCTTGGCGTCTCCGCCCGGTCAGAAGGCCCAAGAGGCCGAAATCTGCCCCAAACCCTCCGCCGTGATATTACTGCTTACGTAGGCCCGACGCGAACCCGAGATCCGACGTTGCGAGGCACAGGCGACATCGCGAAGAACCACGACCACAACCCGCAACCCCATCTTTCTGCGGCATGTTCAGAGCTGGATTAGTCTGTGGTGGGCCCCGGGGCCCGAAAAAGCGGGCGAGAGCGCCTGGCGTGAATAAGTCGCAGTGCCACGGGGGGGGGGCTGCTCATGAAGGGGGGCCCAGAAGCTAGCCTCTCAGGAAGGCCACTGCCCCCCCCCCCCTTGGCGCCCCCGCTCCTCCCCTTTTTCCTTCCTGCCTGCCTGCCTTCCTTCCTTCCTTCCTCCTCCTCCTCCTCCTCCTCCTGCCTCCTTCCTCCTTCGTCCTTTCTCCTTCCGTATTCATCCTTTTGCTTCCTCCTCCTCCTCCTCCTCATTCCCCTGATTCTCCGCCTGGTTCTCCTCCTCCTCCTCCTTCATCCTCTTCCTCCTCCTCCTCCTCCTCCTCCTCCTCCTCCTCCTCCTCCCCCTCATTTTCAGCCTCGTCCTGCTCCTCGTGTTTTTCTTCTTCCTCTTCTTCTTCTTCTTCTTCTTCCTCTTATTCTTCTTATTCCTCTTCTTCTACTTCTCCGTCATCATGCGAAAGCGTTACTCACCTGTGGCATTCCTAATCTCGATGCCAGTTGTGGCGACCTTAAGCGGTGGCTTACGGTGGCCGCCAGAACGGCAATCCACATTGGAGACGAGAGCGCTTACGCGTGACCTTACGCGGAACATTTGCACGCGAATGTCCGCGCAGTCTAAACCGTTTCTCTGCGTCACTCAATTGTGGTCACCTTGCTCCTCCTAAGGATCTTGCCTGGGCCTGGGGCCACACATCGAGCCGCCCTTAAATATCATGGCGGCAAGTATGGCCTGGATGGGCCTGGAGGTGCCCATGCTACTGATACGCGTCCTCGGAGGTGTCGATGGGCTATGCTTCGTCCTGGGGCCCCGCGGCGGTCTTGGCATGGAGCTGGAAAGCATTTTGTGTGGGGTACCCTGTCTACTCCTGAACAGCCGAGTCCTCGAGCTGAGCTTTCAGCATCTCCGATGGTTCTATTGTGTATGCGGCTGGTGCTATGGCTTGTTAGTCTGAATCCGACATGGTCATAACTACTTCCCCGGAACATCCCATTACTTCTACCGCGCGGCGCGTGTAGGCCCGCTGCTGGTTGCCGGGCCTGCGCCAGTGGCCGGTTCGCCGACAGATTGCGGGTTGCCTGGCCTCGCCAGTCACCACCGCTGGTGGGATCCTTGGGGCAGCCACGAGAGGTCCTAGCCAGCAGCACAACGCTCGATGTGTGGGCAAGAGCCGCTCGGCGGCGAAACAGCGTGCCCAATGCGCCATTGACGAAGACAAGGTTCCTTCTTGAATGGGTGTGCTGATTTCTTTGTGGGTTGGGCTGCTGACACACGGGCGGCTTGACTTTTGACCAGTCGGATGTGCCTAAATTCGTGGGCTGGGTCACCTCCATCACATTGGACCGCCTGCTCGCGGTCCACAGGCAGGTTGTTCAGAAGAATCCGAGACGTGCTACGGACAGGCTTGGCCGACCACCCCCGCGTCCTCCCTCGCTCCCATCCTTCTGTGTGCGTCGGGAACCATTGCGGAGTGCTGGCCATGAGCCCGTTCGTTCAGGCACGTCTTTCAAATGCCAAGTTTGCGATCACAAACTGTGTCTGAAAGACCAGCCCGTGCCTCTTTGTCCTGGCCCGTGCATGGGCAGCTCTCGGTCTTCGTCTGACCCGACTGACCCCTCGCCCATCCCTCGTGCACCCGGCGTGCTACTGACCACATTCTGGAAGTGTTTCATGGTGTGATACGCTGTGGACGTTTTGGTTGTCACGCCACAGCGAATGCTCGGAGTCTTGGCCACTCGTGCAGAGCGGAGACATGTCACCTCCAGGAGTGGAGGCGAGTCTCTCTGGCGCATCCTTTGAAGGGTTCACGAATTGAGGGCGCGCCATTTCCAAAATGTGGCTCTTGCCTCAGCGCCGCGCACATCCGTTTTTGAAACATGGCAAAGCATGAACGGATTGAGGGCGGGCCGTTCTCGAAATGTGGTTCTCGCCCTAGCGCCGCGCACATTCGGGCCAAACGTTGCGAAAGATTCACGGTTTGAGGGCGGCCCCTTTTCGAAATGTGGCTTTCGCCCTAGCGCCGCGCACATTCGTTTTGAGCATTTGTTTCACTGATTGAGGGCGGCTCGTTTTCGAAACGTGGCTGACGCCATCGCGCCGCGCACATTCCTTTTAAACACTCCGTCCTCCTCCTCGTCCTCCTCGTCCTCCTCGTCCTCCTCCTCCTCCTCCTCCTCCTCCTCCTCCTCCTCCTCCTCCTCCTCCACCTCCCTCCTCCTCCTCCTCCTCCCTCCTCCTCCTCGTCCTCGTCCTCGTCCTCGTCCTCGTCCTCGTCCTCCTCCTCCTCCCCCTCCTCCTCCCAGTCCCTAATTAGCCAGCGTCAGGGGTCGGACGAGGGTTGGGCTGCGCTTCCAATTCCCCGTCTTCCAACTAGATCCTCTGGATCGGCTGCGCGTATCTGGCGTGCGGGGGGCAGGCGGGCCCGAGGCGGAGCAGGCGAGACGGTCCCTGACCATCCACGCGGAAAAAAAAACTCCTCCTCCTCCTCCTTCACCTCCTCCTCCTCCTCCTCCTCGTCCTCCTCCTCCTCCTCCTCCTTCTCCTCCTCCTCCTCCTCCTCCCTCCTTCCCACTTCGTGCGCCCCCCGCTCCTGCACGTCGCCGAGCACGCCCCACGCCTTCGGGCAGTGCACCCCGTGGGGGCCAGCGTAGATCTGCTCCACGACGGGGCAGCGGCGCCCGCCGCCCTGGTGAGGGCTGCACGCCGGTCGGCAGAAGTGGGTAGAACCATGGAGCAGGAAGGCGTTGGAAGTAGATTTGGTCTCCGCCCGCCCCCTGAAGACGAAGGAGAAAGGAACACCACTCGATCCTTGAAGTAGGAAGGCGCCTAAAGTAGCTTGGAATCTGGGAATCCAGCCAGGCGTGGCCGACGCACATGTAGTCTAAACACTTGCCATCGCTCGGACGTCCACTCCCCGTGCATCGGACGTCCGTTCCCCGTGCCTTTTCCGATTTCATACGCCCATGTTCTCGCAAGGTGGTCTGAGGTGCTCCTCGATGGTCCTCGCCGAGGGAAATGTGCACACGTCCGAGCGATGCGAAGTCATGCAAGTATGCCTGGGGGATGCCGACCTACAACGCTGCCCAAGACCTGGCTGCCCGCGGGGTGCAGCAGAATGCCGTGGACGTCTCGGAGGAGGCCCAGCCGAGGCAACCCCGAAGCTTGGCGTCGCGCAGAGGGGGCAGGGGAAGGGGGGAAGGCTTCTTGGATCGGGGGCGCGCAGACATGGATTAGCGATCCATGGATTTGGCGCGCGGTCGCCAAATCCATGGATCGGGGGAGGTGCCCTCCCCAAAATGCGGCCGGTGCCGCCTCGTTCGGCGGCGGAAATCAGCGATTTCCCCTGGAAACGGGACCCGTCGCTTTTTCCACGCCCCCTCAATCCATGTTTGCGATCACCTGATATTGGAGGGAGGCTGCTTCTTAGAAGGCGCCGGCCTCACATCTACAGACAGGGCCCGCGCACTCCAAGAAGCAGGGGTGCTACTAGAAAGTCTTCCTCCCCTCCCCCTACAGTGGAGGCCAGTCCACAAGAAACCTCTTCCACCAGAAACCCAACCCTGAACCCCCAGGACGTCCACTGATATTTGGTGTGGGAACGTCACGTTTTCCACAGCAGAAGCCATCGAAACCCAAGAAACCCAGGGCACCCTGGAAGCAAGCAGGGAGGTCCTTGGCATGGGTCTCCACTGTACCCCCCCTGCGCGGGGCTGAGGAGCGCCGGCGTGGCAACGTTTGCACACTGGGCGTTGTCGCGAGAAGGCAGCTCCGTCCGGCTCGAAGAATGCAGCAGAAAGCCTGGGCCTCTAGCTAGGACTCCGGCCGCGGCTTCCCGTGAGGTTGCAATCCTAGCAGCGTTGGATCTCGGGGGACCACGGCGGCTACCCAAATCTCCGATGACATGTTTTTTTTGTTTTCTCTCTCTCTCTCTATATATATACCCCGGGTTGGGCTCTCGATCTCGGCCTCGCGGGCCCGCTAATCATGGGGCCCGGGGCCATCAGAGGTGGATCGGGATGCATCGGGGACATAGAACTACCCCAGGCGGAAGCGCACTAGAACACACACACACACACAAACACACACAAACACACACGCACAAACACACACGCACAAACACACACACACACACGCACACACACACACGCACAAACACACAACAAACATACACACACAAACACACACACAACCACACACACGCACACGCACACACGCACACACACACACGCACACACACACACACACAACAAACACACACAAACACCCAAACACACAAACACACACACAAACACACACACACACTCACACACACACATTGTCGGACGTCTCGGGTTGAGACAACAGCGGCTTTCCTGCCTGGTCCACGTTCTCTCGAAAGCGGCCCCCGGATCTCTCGCTTGCCATCGCTCGGACGTCCACTCCCCATGCATCGGTCGGCTTCGTGCGTTTTTTTTGCGCAAGATGATCCAACATGCTCCTCGATTCGGCGGCGAGCGAGGGGGGAAGTGAGAAGGAAAAGGCCTTCTCAGAAGGTTCGGGAGTCCCCCCAGCCTTCTGAAAGGTGTCCGTCCTGAGCCCCTTTACCCGAAGACACACACACACACACACCAACAAAAAAAACCTCTCAGAAGGCGCCAGGGCTTCTGAGAAGTTCGGTCGCCTTCTGAGAAGGCCTTGTCCTTCTCATTTCCCTCATACCACGGGAGCCTTCCATACCATATTGTCGGCTCTTGCGAATCGACGCTAGTCGACGCTAATCGACGCTAAATCGACGCTAATCGACGCTGGCCGACGCTATTTTGGCGATATCTCGTCGACTCCCAGACGCTTATCGACGCCAGTCGACGCTCAAGACCGAATGAAGAGGGTACACAAGGCTCCCATGCTTTGCTGCCGAACTCCTCGATGATGGCCTTCACCGAAAAGAAACCTGGAGGGTCCAAAGGGAGTTTTTTGGGAGGGGGTTTTCCAGGGCCCCTGGGGGGCTATCTGCGATCCGACGCCCCCCCCCAAAATACAGCATCGCGAAAAATCGTCGTCGTCGTCGTCGTCGTCGTCGTCGTCGTCGTCGTCGTCGCTCAGGGTCGGCGGCACCGGCCGTAAGGCCTCTCCAATAGCGGCGGGCCTTCTCAGCAGCCCTCGCGCGCCTTCTGAGAGGTCTTTGTTGTGCGTCTTCAGGGAAGGCTTAGAAAACTTCTCAGAAGGCTGGAGGGCTTCCAAACCTTCTGAGAGGGCCTTTTCCTTCCCACGTCCCCCCCTCGCTCGCCGCCGACAAACGATGGCCACGCCAGGATCCCAGAGTGACCTCGGCCAACCCTCCTCCGCATGTCCGTGCGGCCGTCGCGGCCCGGCGCGCAGAAGCGCTCCGGCACCGCCCAGCCCGCCCCGATCAGCTCGGACGCGTCGGCCCTCTCGAGCTCCAGGAGCCTATCCCCGCTGCTGGCGCAGCGGAGCTGCACCACCGGAGGCAGGTCGACGCGGGACCACGTGTCCACGAAGAAGCGGCCGCAGGGCGAGAAGTCCTGCGAGCTCGGGCCGCTGCACTGCTGTTCGCGCCGGAGCGCCTCGGCACGGCTTCGGGCCCCGGGCCCCCCGCGGATCGATCCGGAACAAAGACGTGCTCTCTCTCTCTCTCTCTCTCTCTCTCGAGAGAGAGAGAGAGAGAGAGATGTTGCAGTGTTGTCGCAGCGTCGGACCTAGACATGCGACGTTACGCGGCCCACAGAAGTGCCGACCCTGTCCCTGGGACGGGCTCTGCATCCCCAGTCGCCTCTTGACGGCCCCGGGGTCCCACGAGCCAAGAGGGGCCCCAGAGGCCGAAAACGACGACAAACCTCCGTAATTATGTTGTTTTTCGATCGGTTGGAGGTCTGTCCCCAGGACGGGCTCTGCATCCTCAGTCGCCTCTTGATGGCCCAGGGGCCCCAAGAGGGACCCCCGAGGCCGAAAGCGACGACAGACCTCCGTATTTTGAGCAGAGACCGACCGTCCCGGCAGTCCTATAGGCCTACCACGAAATGTTCTTATATATAACCCAAAAAATGTTCGACAAACAAAAACAAAGTTCTCAGAACATACGCCCGATGTCGTAAAACAAGACAGTCTCAGCCGGAAATGTTCCAAGAACATGTCGTGGAAACCACAAAAGGTTCTTAGAACACTGATTGGTAAGCCATAGGCGAGCCAGGATTGAAGGGGCCCTGGGACACACAAATAAATACACATAAATAACAGAGGGGGAACACGAAACAACATTTCGAGCCCTCGGCCCTAAGAAGCCCCCAGGAGGCCTCAAGAGGCCCCTTTCAAGCCCCAGGAGGCCCCCCAAAGGCCCTCGAGATAGCCCCCAGACGCCCCACGAGGCTTTCAAGAGCACTCCCAAGAGGGCCCTAAGAGGCACAATTCATTGTTTTCCCTTAGGTTTTGGGGAGATTTTGGCGTCTCCACCTTTTCGGCATCGCGACGCCCCAAGACGGCCCAAGAGGCTTCCAAGACGGCCCAAGAGGGCCCCAAGAACGCTCTAAGAGAAGCCCCAGGGGGGGAACACGAAACAACATTTCGAGCCCTCGGCCCTAAGAAGCCCCCAGGAGGCGCCAAGAGGCCCCTTTGAAGCACCAGGAGGCCCCCAAAAGGCCCTTACGAGGCTCCCAAGAAGCTCCCAAGCGGCTCCCAGAAGCCCCAAGATGCTCCCACATGCTCCCAAAGGAGCTCCAAGAAATCCCAAAGAGGCTCCAACAGAACCCACGAGGCCCCCAAGAAACCTCCAACGAGGACCCCAAAAGGCACCCAAAAGCCCAAACGCCAGCGAGGGCACAATACGGGCCGGCGGAATGAGCGAAGCGATTAGATACATACGCATAAAAAAAACAAGATTCCCCCAGATTTCCCTACATTTTCTGGGTTTTCGTCTTCCCCCCCCACTTCCCATATTTTCCCATACTTTCCTGGGGATCGACGATTACTTGTGTCTGTGTGTTTTTCCCCCTCCTGAAGGACGCTTCGCCACTGCTCGAGTATTGGATTTTTTGTCCATAGGTTGGAGGTCTGGGTCTCCGCCGACGGGGCCCAACCTCGCCCCCGTCGTCGCGCCGCGGCGGGGGTCGGAGCGCCTTCGGCGCGCGGCGGCTGCCCGCGGCGGGGGCCGACGTGGGGCTGTCGGCGGGGGTGACGCCCCCCCCGACGCTTCTGAAGAAGCTCGGAATCTGTACTTTTGTACGATCGGTTGGAGGTCTGGGTCTGAGTCTCAGGGTCCGCGCTGTGGGTGCCCTCCGCGTCGGCGGTGAGGACGGTCACGTGCGGGCCGCCGCCGTCGGCGTCCAGCGGCGCGCGGCAGACGTGCGCGTAGCACGGGTCGTGGCCGGGGACGATGCCCCCGGCCGCGAACCACACGACCCGCTCGAGCTCGTCCACCCGCAGGACCGCCTGCCAGGGGTCGAGAACAACCCTGAGATCCTGGCGACTCGATGTTTTCGAGCCGGGAGTTGTCGCCTTTTTTCGGGCCCCGGCGCGTTCACAAATCGATCCGGCTCGAAACATGACGCAGAAAGACGGGGTCTGCGGCGGCACTGGGCGCGGATTTTCACGATGTTGCCAGTTGATCGCTACGTCGGATCTCCGGGAATGGCGTTTTGCGTTTTCGCGTCGTTGTCGTCCCGAGGCGTCTTGGAACGACAAGGGCCCGACCGTTTGCCCCAAAGCAGCATGCCGTCAGGCGCAGACGCACACGCGCGATAGCCCCAGGAAGGAAGCAGCACGAGAACAGCACGACAGCGATCACGACCCACGAGATTGCCAATGACACCGTTTTTTGCCGACCCTTGCCGCCTGCACCACCCACTCCCCTCGCTGGCGGCACGCACAAGGTGTGTAGGGGCAGGACGGAAGGCTCCTCAGGAGGAGGCTGCTTCTGAGAAGGCGCCGGCCCTACCTCTACAGATGAGGCCCCCGCCTTCTGAGAGGCAGGGGTGCCTCTAAGAGGCCTTCCCCCCTCCCCCATACTCCCCCTGTGCGCGTGGCCGACCTCTGGTGAGCTGCCTCCAGAGGAGCAGACCGCGGCATAAGCAGACAGCCAACCCGCATAGCAAGGATCCGCGGTAAGGATGCAAGGGGCTGGCCATCGAAAGTGGTGGAGGACGGACCGATGATGACCGAATGGGCAAGGATGCAAGGGTACCCTTCCCGAGCATGCGACGTCCTGATTTGTTCAAGACGGCGTCCCCGGAAGTCCAGACCCTTTCCCTCCTCCGGTTTTCCATCCTGAGACGCTTCTGGACGGTCCCGGGGCCCAGCGAGGGCCTCTCGAGGCCGAAAATGGCGAAAAACCTCCGTCCTGAATCTTTCTACGACGCGATCACGTCTGGGTTGGGAAGTCGATCGTCCTTACCATGCCGGTTGACTGGAACGCCTCGGAGGCCCGCGCGGCCTTCCTGGCCCGGCGCCGGAGCCCCGACCCTCCCAGGCGCGGCGCGCGCCAGGGGGCGACCCCGGAGGCGCCGCCCAGGGGGCCCCAGCGCCGATCCAAGGACTCCGCGCGGGCCCTCGAGAAGGCCTGCTCGGGCCGCCGTTCTCCCCGAGATCCGCTGGCGCGGCGACAGTCGGGACGCCGCGAAGCAGGCCACGGCCGGAGCCCCATGGACCCCGTCCTCTCTGCGGCCTCCTGCGAGCCGCATCGCTCTGGGAGGGCCCCGCGGCCCGAGATCGGGCGAGATCGAGATCGCCGGGCCCGAGACCGCGGAGGCGCCCAGATCTCGGGGCTGCTCCTCGAGCCTCGTCTCCGGCCTCGCCCGTCCGTGGGCCCACCGCAGGGCCCAGACGTGGCACCAGCCGTCCGCCTCGGACAGGAAGAGCAGCTCCGCGGCGCAGCCCCGCCTCCCGGGCACCCACCTGCCGACGAACGATCAACACGCACCCGTGCCCACGGGGGGGGGACGGAACGAGCTATGGTGCGTGTTGTCGGATGGGGGCCCCCGCTCGAACGGGAGTCTCCCCAGGGGTCCGACAACCCGCACCCATACCCACAGCCAGTCCTTCTCCCTCCGACCTCCCCATGGGTATGGATGTGTGTTGTTCGTTCGCTACCTGCTCCACAGCTTGTTGCAGGTCGAGTCGATGAACTTCCACCGCGCGCCCTCCGCCTCGCAGTCCTGGAGGCACAGCAGGCGGCACATGAGCACAAACTCCCGCAGGTGCGCGCGGACTTCTTGGATCTTCGCCGGAGGCGCCGCCGAGGGGGCCAAGGCGCCGATACAAGACATCCGCGCGGGCCGTCGAAAATGTATGTTGATGCCGTTGGTTTGCCCTTCGATATCGGTGCCCCCGATTCGCCCCACGCTGGTGCGGACTGCCTCTGCCTCGCCGCCGACGGGAAAGTTTTGCCCTTCGAAGTCTCGTGGCCTCCCCTCCCAGAGTTTGCCCTTCGAAGGTTTTTCGCCCCTGCCACCCGAAGTTGTGTATCATTCGAAGCTTTTTGTCCTTTGAAGTCCTCCTCCCAGAGCACCGTCTCGTGGCCAGAGGCCCTCTCGACGGCGACCCAGCGCCGCACCCTCCGAGAGCGGGCCACGTAGTCGACGACGAATCCCACCAGCCCTCTGGACGCAGGAGGCGCGAGGGATCGGAATGGGGAGGAGGAACCACCTTCACCTCCTCCTCCTCCTCCTCCTCCTTTTCCTTCTCCTCTTCGCTCCTCCTCCTCCTCCTCCTCCTCCTCCTCCTCCTCCTCCTCCTCGCTCCTCCTCCTCGCTCCTCCTCCTCCTCCTCCTCCTCCTCCTCCTCCTCCTCCTCCTCTTCCTCTTCCTCGTCCTCGTCCTCTTCCTCGTCCTGGATCCGATGCCGTGGAGAAGCCGCAAAACGCCGCGAGAGGAAAAGCACGACCTGGGAGCCCCAGGCCCCGTCCTCCTGCGGCGTTCTTCGAGCCGGACCGACCTGTGCTCCCAGAACCCCGACGTCATCATTTTTTCACAAGGTTGACCCCCAGAGACCTGGACCCCTCCCCGGGCCTGGTCTTTCACCAGGAATCGTTTGTGGACGGCCCCGAGGCCAAGCGAGGGCCCCGGGACGCCAAACATAGCAAGAGAGTGGAGGAGGAAGAGGAGGAGAAGGAGGAGGAGGAGGAAGAGGAGGAGGAGGAGGAGAAGGAGGCATAGGCGGAGACAGATGAGGAGGAGCGAGGAGGAGGAGGCGGACGGAGGAGGAGGAGGAGGAGGAGGAGGGGGGAGGAGGAGGAGGAGGAGGTGGAGGCGGAGGAGGAGGAGGAGGAGGGAAGGAGAAGGAGGAGAGGAGATGCAAGAAGAGAAGATGGGCAGAAGAAGAAGTGGAAGAGGAGGAGGAGGAGGAGGAGGAGGGTGAGGATGCGGATTGAGATGAGGAGGAAAAGGATGAGGAGAAGGAGGGATAGGAGGAGGATAATGAGGAGGAGGAAGAGCAGGAGGAGGAGGATGAGGAGAAGGAGGACGAGGAGGGATGGGAGGAGGGATGGGAGGAGGAGGAGGAGGAGACGGAGGAGGAGGAGAAGGAGAAGGAGGAGGAGGAGCAGCAGAAGGAGGAGGAGGAGGAGAAGGAGGATCAGGTGCAGGAGAAGGAGGAAGAGGAGAAGCAGGATGATGAGGGATATGAAGATGATGATGATGCTGTTGCTGTTCATGATGATGATGATGATGATGATGATGATGATGATGATGATGATGATGATGATGATGATGATGATGATGATGATGATGATGATG